AACTTTCCCACCTATATAATACTTGAATGCTCGTAAATTTTCAAATGCAAGATTTGAGCAATATTTATTTATGTAGGCAATAGGGGGATGGCCAGATTTGATGCTTTTCCACACGTGGTTTTCCTACCTGAAATGAATGTATTTATTGCGTGAGTAGTGAGTATGTGTGGGTGAGTTGTGGCGGAATATAGAGTACCACACAGACTCGCCAAAGTAGATTAGGATTTTTCTTGTGTTTTGTTTTTTGAATGAATGTTATCGTGAGTGTTGAGTATGTGTGGGTGGGTGGTGGCAGTGTACCGCGTAATGTTACTACCCCAGTGGCTCCCCAAATTGTAGCTGTATATATGGCATGAAAGGTTTTAATCAGTATGACTATTTACTATCGTGAATGAGGGTGGGCCTTCAGTAATGTCGGAATATCGGGAATATCGAGTACCCTGAAACCCGTCAAACTAAAGTTAGGCTGAGTTTTAATTCTTCGTTGTAAAGCCTTGTCATCATGTGTGGAAGATACGATAGAAATCAAGTCCCAGAAGTTATATCGAAAAATCGCTAGGCCTCCTACGGTAGAGCTAATTCTTTAAGAGGGGGAAAAAACGCGAATTGTTGACTGGAATGCTGGAACTGGAATGGTCTTTTGGATATGTTTTACACTTGACCAATTTGAAGATTTATGGAGAGCTGATAGTTGATTTTAATTATATACAGGGTGCAATTTAACATCTGTCCCCTATAATTTATTTATTTTTTATTTTTGTTGGTGCATTTTGAGAAAAAATGTAAACTTTATTGTTTTTCCAGTTTCTCATGAGTCAAAAAGTATTGATTTAATTCTCCAGGATAGCAGGATACGATAGGAAATTACTTTCTCGTGGTTCCGAAATATGCACCAGGTGCTTTTATGACTGACTACATCCAGAGTTAATAGATGTTGTTTAAGAAATTGTTGGGAAATTTCTCTTTCAGTATCAAATTTACAATCAATTAAAATGAAAAATAAATAAATTTGTTCTTGATTGACGAGTTGGGAGCAAATTTTGTTTGTATTTGGATAAAACATTTGGCGAATAACTTGAGATCTGTTGCTCCAAATTTACAACCGTTTGCACCATTGAATACAGCGCTAAAATACCTGTCAAAACATATACTTAGATAAATTTGTTGTCAAGTTTAAATAGTTAAGCTCCTATCAAAAGTTTGTTTCATGAGAAACTAAACAAACGTATCATGTGTTTTTTCCCAAAAGCGGTGTATGTATCACCCTGTATGATCGGCTGAAAATATATAACCTCTTTTCTCAAAAATAACTACTTAAAACACGTCCATGTTTATGCACACACCCAACGTCTATGTTTGTGTTCAACTAGAACTTTAATGTAGGTAGTAGGTTTGTGAATTATAATATAAATTTGCAACATAATTGTTTTTTAAAAAACCAGGGGCCCGCAGAATAGATTCCCCAACACCAACGGATTGTTTTATTTGGGGGTGAGGTGAGTCTTTAAAAAAAGTCCGTTTATGCCAATTTGAATTCAACTTGTGGGGGGAAGAACAGAAGTACTGAACATTTGGCCAAAAAATAATTTTTTCCCCTTTGAAAACCTATTAAACAGTTAAATCAGTTTTATCCAATGTTGTAATTAATTAATGTAATTATTGTTCATGTAATTTCCTCGATTTTTATTTGAAGTATTGTGTTATTACATATAATATGTTTAATAAATAAGAAATATACATAATTATAAAGAATTTGTTAAATATATAAAAATGTTGATTTTAATTGTGGCTTCGCATTTCTCCAATTTTGATACATGCCTTAAAAAGTAATATAAAAGCAATTCAATTTCAACTTTTCTAGTTTTGACATGAAAACAAGGTAAATAAGTTAATACCCATTCGTTTAATACAAACAATTCTTAATACTTGGTTGCGAACTATTTCTTGTTTATGTTCCTAGATTCAAATCTTTTCTATTCAGCCTTGTTATTCATATCATAATTTTTTAATAAACATCGCCATATTCTCTATTTTATTTTTATCATTTGGCTAGTGTCTTCAAATTTTTTCTATCGAATTTAACGAAAAACTATTATTGTACATATTAAAGGATGAACAATAAAATAAATTCACTAATTTCGTGGTCCGCTTGACCAATTAATACTTTACAGTTAATTAAGGTTTTTAGTTGAGATGAAAAAAAGCTAATGGCACGAGAGGGATTCGAACCTACGATCTTTGAAAAATGGCAAAAGGAGGGAAAACTCATAAGGTGGGGTTGAGATGGGGAGTTGATGTCCAAGTGGATCGAGGTCACGATAGCTCAGGTGGTAGAGCAGCGGCGTATCTAGCCGAAGGTCGTGGGTTCGAATCCCTCTCGTGCCATTAGCTTTTTTTCATCTCAACTAAAAACCTTAATTAACTGTAAAATAAAATAAATTTTGAATTCTACGAAATTTATTATTTATATTTCTACGAGATCTGAAATCTTGGCCAAGTCTTTAGCTCTGAATTAACCTTAATCAATACTTATACTCAATTAATTATACACAATTTTTTCAAAAAATTTGTGACAGGTGGGATTCGAATCCACGAATCTAGGAATCCCTTTCTGGACACAAAATTCACAATAGGCATCAAAATTTTAATATTCCTCTTAAGCTCTGAAGAAGTCTGCCAAAATAACAATGTCATCCATGTACATTAATATTTTAATAACTGAACCATTCATGCGAATTCCACATTCAAAAACCTGGGGAAGATCATCCAGAAACAGCGCAAATAATAAAGGGCTTAGCACGCAACCTTGTCGCACACCAGACTGTACCCTAAAAAACTTGGACACTCCATTCTGGCCACGCATACAAGAAGTGGTTGCAAAAAAAAAAAAAAAAACAAAGACGTAAGGATAGTCACAATTTTAAAAGAGAAACCCAGATTGCAAAGTTTTAAAATTAGGCCTCTATGATCAACTATCAAAAGCAGCTGATATATCGACAAAAAAACATTAAGTTTTTGCTTAGGTTTTGTCATTCTCAGACTTATTAGATTTGATAGAACAAATAAATTGTCACAAGTTGAGAAACCTTTTCTAAAGCCCATTTGGTTTTCACTTAGTAAACCATTATCGCTAACAAAAGCGTCCAACCTGTTAAGTAGTAAACCAGAAAAAATCTTAGCTACACTATCAAGACAAGAAGACTCTGTAGGTAGAAAGACTGGTTCGATCTCCGTGCTTAAACAGTGGGAAGATACTTGATTCACCAAATGTGTGAGGGACTGAACCGGAATCAAAAATATAGTTATTTAAAGACAGAAGATGGTCGAGGAATTCCCAAGGAGCATATTTAAAAAATTCACATGGGATTCTATCTGGGCAAGCTGCCTTATGATCTTTTAGTTTGTTTACAACTGTGAGCAGTTCTTTGAAAGAAAATGGACTATCTAGAGAAGAAACACCAAACTTAGGTTCCGCATAAAAATAATGAGATTGGCTATGCTTTTTGGATTCAGAAGTGCCTGAAAATGTTGCGCCCAAGAAGAAGTACAAATCTGGTTACTAAATGTTTTATGCATAATCTATCTAGTATTTCATCATGCTGCAGTCTGAATGATGGAAGTGAACATTAGGTTCATTATCTAATTGTTCTTCTGACTTAAGGAAGGATTAAGGACCATTTTTGCATCCACGTCTAAAGCAAAACTAGTCCAACCAGAGTTAAAATTAACTAGTGATGGCTTGCATTTTTTTTTTTTTTTTTTTTTAAATCCTTTCATTTAGTATCAGTATATTGCTGAGTGAGTACACTTTAGATCAAACTTTCCTCTTATGTTAATGAAATTAGGAAATTAGGAGAACCTTTTTGCTAAGAAAAAAGTCTAAGAGATCAGGTATTTTGTTGCAGTCTGTTGGCCAGTAATTCCTCTATGGAAAAAGGTAGATGTACTCTAGCGTAGCTTTTCTTAGTTCGTGGTCTTTGGTGTTCGGCAATCTGGATCGCGTCACCATTTAGCAATTTATATTTGTATTATATATATATTTTTGGTTTTTGTTTAAAAAATCAATTCCATGTGATTTAAAAAAGTTAAATTCATTATTTATTTAAACATTTATTTGGACTTGAAATTACACCCATCATCAGCATCTTTTTTTAAACAAAATTATTAACTTTGTTATTATATATAGTTTCGTTTAAAAGATATACGACCATTTTGCATGGACAATCCACATGGCAAGGTGGAAAAGTGAAAAACTGGAAATTTATGGAATTACTTATTCTCACTGGACAACAAAGACATTCAATCAGGATATTCCGATGACTTCTAAAAAATCAGAAAAATTTTTGGGTCCAAAAAAATTGATAATTTTAAATTCAAACAAAATTTGTACTTAAGGATCTCTAGAGGTGAATAAAAACGAAATTTCATATAGTTTCACAAGAAAATATGATCTAATTAACTTCAAAAATATTCGGTTTTTAGAAATTTTTTGGTTATTGACAATATTTTGTTTTGGCAATCTACATAAAAAATGCTGTAGAATGATATATTCACAAAGTTGATTTGATCAAGTAGAAAGACAAAATAAAAATATTTAAAAATGGAAAATTTCAACTTCCAAAAAAAAAAAAAAATTGCCAAAACCAGGGCTTATCCACAAGAAGTGATATACAAGTGTCAGATTAATACTTGCTTTGGTGATTGATCAGCCTTCTCAGTATAAATATTTTTCTTTACAAAAGGTAGATTTGGGATGAGGCCAGGTTTATGATCCCTCGCCTCATCCCCAATCTACTTTTTGGAAAGAAAAATATAAGTGTCAGATATTTTCGAATGTAGAATTACCAAAAAAATTGGTCCAAATCCGTGACCTACCAATCTGGTTGTCTCCTTTTTTAGTAGGGCTTGTATATGATTATTTTAATTGTATGAATAAAAATATCAAATATAATAAAATATTTTCTCTGTTGTTAATTTGTTGTTGTTTTCTGTTCTTTCAGATCACTGATCAAATTGTAAAAGATCCAGTGCTAAAAATCAAGGAAACAGTGGATGAGAGCAAGTTAAAAAAAGAGTTATCCAATTTGACCGTTTCTTCAGATGATAAGGAAAATCCTACTGTTGCCAAAAAAGTTGTAACGCGGACACCTTTAAAAGAATTAGTTAAAATCCCATTAGCAGTAGCAGAGGATAAAAAACAAAACAAATATGATTCGCCTATGTCTATCGATGGTTCACCAAAAAATATTGAGTTAATTGCTAGTAAAGCAAAGCTTGAAGAACTGTATTCTTGTTTGATATATAGAGATGACATTTATAAATACCTCAAACAATTAGAAGTAATTATAAAATTATTTTACGATAACAAATATATAAATTCACTACAATTTTGAAGTTCTGTGTATTTTTCAGACTCAATTTAGGCCAAAAGCGTATTATATGAAACGGCAACCGGATGTAACATATTCAATGAGAACAATTCTTGTTGATTGGCTGGTTGAAGTTGGAGAAGAATACAAACTTCACAATGAAACATTATTTATGGCTGTGTCTTTCCTAGACAGATTTTTAAGTAGCATGGCAGTCGCACGTGCCAAACTACAACTTTTAGGGACATCTGCAATGTTTATTGCAGCGTAAGTAGTTATTTTATAGATTAATATATGAAAATTATATTCTCAAAAATGGTTAGAAATTATTATGTACAATAGTTGCTAATAATTTATTCTTATCTATTCTTGTATTGGAAAATTTTATTTGTCACGCTCCAATCTGGTGTGCTCAGTTGTTAATGATTTTGTAATTTGTGTAATAGTATCTATATTATTTCTATCAAATAAATTTACATATTTTATTGTTTGTATGTTATGTAAATCTGAATGCTTTAAAAAATTAGTGCATTTGCTGTTATTACAACAATAATTAAGCAATTAGAAGGGTGGTTTTGTTTTTATGTATAAAATAAAATATTTCTAGTAATGTAGCTCTCATTTTCTATATAGGTCAATATAAGATAATCAATTATCGTAAATATACAAAATCACTGATAAATCTTGTAAAGACATTTTTTTAAATTTTTAAGCAGTTCTCTCAATTTATGTTTTATGGATTATTACAAATAATGGCTTTTGTTATTGATTTTTTTTTTTTATGACAGGAAGTTTGAAGAAATATTTCCACCTGAGGTTTCCGAATTTACATATATAACAGATAACACTTATACAAAAAAACAAGTATTAAGGATGGAAAATTTAATACTGAAAGTTTTATCTTTCGAACTTTCTGCACCAACTTGTTGTACTTTCATTACCCACATTGCTGCAAGCACAAAACTTCCAGACAAAAATTTGTTTCTTGCTATGGTAAGTAGAAGTAACTATTATAAGGGTTTAAGGTAACATTAAAACTGTTCTGTTACAACTTACACTTACTTATGTAGCTGTAACTGTAAGTTGTAAGTAATAAATAGAAACTTACTGAGTGGACTTTTATCTCTGGAAATTACATGTAAAAGATCTATAGCCCAATACCTGAAATTACTTCTTTACCATTGAGATTTGGACAAGGGTTTATAGGAAGTTTTTTGATGTATCTGGTGATTAGAAACACCTCCTGAAGTTTATTATATATATTATTATATATATAATATATTGATTACTAACTANACAGTGGAGATATATATATATATATATATATATAATTTGGATATTTTGTTGGACAATTGAGTTGGTGTCGTCTGTGATTTCTGATCCTTGTATGTTATATGTATTTCCATGGATGGTCAGACCTAAGATGGCAAAATATATCTAACCAAAATGAAGTAAATGTACGAAGAGGAGGACAATCAAGAACAACCAAACTGATTACTGATTTATATATTAAGCCATGCATGTGAGTCATCTACATGCAATAAAAGTTCTATTTCCTCTAAAAATCGGCTGACATTCTCCAGCACAATTCTCATATCAGGTGGCATTCTTATATGCTCTCTACATGGAGCCAGGAGGCCAAGGGAGATTTGAGCTTATATGAAGAGCCCCTGTCAATTAAGTGGGACACATCGAGCAACCTTTCTCTGCATGTCAGACACGTGGGCTTTGGCCCAAAAGTATGTGTCCGTTTCTCCACCTCGCATGGCCTATAATCTTTAATCGGATCTCACCTTTATTCAACGAGTCAGATCCTCTGAGGGCCACCTCTCGAAAGTGCTCTTGATTCACAAGCCTACCACATTCTTTTAATCCTGTTTTTTAATGGATTTTTATTTGGCTAGATCACTGTGGTTAACTCTGGAGGTTAGGACGTCCTGACCTTTGTTGCCTAGTCTATCTTTTTGTTACCCTCCAGACCTATGTGTCACAGATACTCAGTAAACAACCACCATCGTTTTTTCTGGAAACTTCAGTTCATGGCATCTCTCCAACGAGAGCAAACAACCAAATAAAAGCAAAAATTTATATACAAATATTAAGTTGTTAGTTACCTCAATGAAATTATTCAAATATAAATACTTACTTTTCAAATAATAAATATAATATAATTAATTTGACATGCAAAAATATCAAGTGACCAAATATTATGTAATATTAATTTATAATGTCACACAATTGAAGAAAGGTTTGATGACAACGTTATATTACTTATTTTCTATGAATTCCCATGATGTAACTATGCACTTTACATATAATGAATGTAGTTTAATGTGTGTAACCTGTTTCTTAGATGTTATGTTATATGTTGCAGTACATTTGTGAATTAACTTTGCTGGAAGCAGACCCGTACTTTGACTTCTATCCGTCTATTATTGCTTCTGGTGCCATTGCATTGGCAAGACACTGCTTAGGTTTTATTGAAGTATGGCCCGTTAATTTAGCCAGAACCACAGGTTATACTCTTTCTCAGTTGTCTCAAGTTATTGTACACCTAAATGAAACTCACAATAAGTCATTTACATCGAAACATGTAGCAATTAGGGACAAGTACAAAGCTGCAAAGTAAGTAATAATTTACCTTTTTACCACTTACTTCTAATAAAATTAACATAATTTTATTGTTTCAGGTTTGAATCAGTTTCACAAATACCTTTTAAAAAATTAATAATAAGAGAATAACTTAATTTGTTCAAGTATTTACAATTCAAATTTGTTCGTACAGTGACTTAAGACAAATACTGATAATTTGTTTGTAATAATTGTCTACTTTGTACTCAATAGTAAAATAAATTGTTTTCAATGAAAATGGATTTTATGGTTGGAAATAATGGAATGGTTCTTGACTGTATTTATACTGTGTCAGAAATAAACAATTCCCAAAGGAAGAATTTTTGGTAATAACTGGAGTATTGGAGATGTGCTTTCAGAAAACCAATATAGTTGGTTAACCAATATATATGCAACCCTATTTAATTCAGTTAAACTAATAATAATTTTAAAAAAAGTGGAAATTGTTGTAACTCAAAAGGGTAGATACAAGATGACGATAAACAGTAAACAATAGAAAATTTTGCCTAGAACAACAAGCCAACAAAATTTGGATGCTCAAGCATTCTTCACACCGTGGTAAATGAGGACGTCCTGGAAGGAAACATTAACATAAACCTACAACAATAGATACACTGGAAATTGAGTAAATTTAATTTGTGTTACATATTGATAAGAAATATAATTTCTTAATGATAGGGTGTATCATTATTTGTAATGCATGAGCTCGAGATTATCTGAGTTATTAACTGTCTCCAGTGTATACACATGATCATGTGTGGTGACCAATGGTTAGGGTGTCCAACTTGTGTTTGCCTGCTAGTGATTCTGGAGTTCAAATCTTGGTGAGCCCATAGCCTTTTAATTGCTAATGTTATGAAAAATGTATTGTAAAGTGGTTTGACCTCTCTTCTGTGACACCCCACATGTAGTTGGACATTAAGCCCTCCTGTATGACAGGAATTACTTTACTTTTACTCATGAGGATGTACAATTCAATTTTTGCTCCTGTAAAAAATTTTACTTTTGGATTTTATGTAAATGGTGTTATACTTAATAATGCTATGAAATATGTAGCAGTTTTGACCAAAGCGTTAATAGAATAGGTTTTTTGTAGCTGACACATGCTGCGTTTTTACTAGCACTATCGTGTGGTTATATCCCTGCTATATAACCAATGGAAAAAAACAAAAGTTGAATATGGGTTCACCCGATATTAAGAAAAGAAAAAAAAAAAAACAGAAAAAAGAACACTTCAGTAATTTGTGTTTGGAATTATGGAAACAACATGACAAAAAGGTAGAAAATTTCAAAAGGTATAAGACAGGATTGGAATGACTCAACAACAGCAAGGCTAATGGAGACTCAAGGACACAGGCCTAACGGAATATCTGCAAAGAATTGAAGTGACATCACCAGAACATGTTTACGACAATCAGATTGTTGTTCTCTTGTTTCTATGCCCTTTGTTGGATGCAGAAAGAGCTAATCTGATATGTCACCTCCTGCTGAATGAATCGGACTGGCCGTATACTCAAATAAACCTCTGCTATGAAAAAGTGTATAAACAATTCACTAAAAAAACAGAATGGATGGGGGATTGTGGGAAATGAACAATATATAATATAATTAATTTTAAAGTCCCTCCCCTGGAGCCAAGTGAAGATGTTATATGTAGTATGCACAAGTTTGGCCTTAAACGATCTCACTGCATGGCTATTTTTTTTACCAAGGTTTCTCTAGTTAAACATAGGATGTGCAAAGGTCCTGTACATGGACCTCAGTGTCATCATTTGTTTACTGACTTTTATTCAATCTGCTAAGATTATATAAAAATATTTATTTAGAAATCGTGAGATGCGGTCTGGTGTGAACTCGTAGTGAAGTAGAAAAATCTAGTAGCAGTCCACAGACTAAAACAAGAGATAAAATTTAATAAACAATTTGTATAGGTATGGCAATTTTAGATATTTCCAAAACGTTAACGTATTCTTTTCATTATGATATTATGCTACCAAATTATGGCCCTGAAAAGCTTCGTCTAATGTATATGGACACAGACTCTATATATTTTATAAAAACTAATGACTTTTATCAAGACCTTCGAGCGTTACATGATCCTACAGATACATCCAATTACCCTGATACCGATGAATGTTTTTCATTACTAAATAAAAAAGTTATGGGAAAATTTAAAGATGAAGTAGGTGGAAGCATCATTATGGGCTTTGCTGGATTAAGAGCAAAAATGTATGCATTAAAAATATATCATCGGGAGGGGCGTCTATCAGAGACGAAAAAAATTAAAGGTATTCAACAAAGTGTTATCCATCATGATTTAAAATATAATAATTTTGTTGAGTGTTTGCAATCCNTTTGTTAAGTTGGTGACTAAAGAACATTTACGAAACCTGGATCTCAATAATGTCTTCTCAATTATGACCTAATAAATGCTCTTGAAGTAAGTGAAAATAGTTATCCAAATATTAATATTCTTTTAAAAATTCTATGACCCTTCCTGTAACAACGGCGTCAGCCGACCGCTCATTTTCTACATTAAAACGATTAAAAACTTACCTTAGGAATAGTATATCAGAAAAAAGATGAGTCGGTATGGCTCTGTTAAACTGTCATCGTGATATTAGTATAAAACCAGACAGACAAAAATAAAGCAAGGATGTTAAATTTTGTTTTGTGAAACCTTTGTTTATTTAATTGTTTGAGATATGTTAATGTCCTAGCCATTCTTAAGTATAAACATATCCTAGGATTATATGTTTAACCCATCCGGGAGATATAAGCAGTTTTGTTATTTTTTTTAATCAAAAATCCGATTTTTTTTGTAAAAAAGTCGTAATTTCTTGGCTTTAAAAGCATCAAAATTCAAATATGACTATAGATTTGGAAACTAAATTAAATTTAAGCGATATAAGTACTGAACTTGAACATTTTGTATGTACTATCTTCCCTGAACGTATGGCCCTTTCCTCCTGAAACACCCTGTATACAATATATTCTTACATTTACATATATTATATCTATGTATATTTTGATTTTTTGAATTAAATTATTGAAACTTTTAAATCAAAAGTGATTTTTTTCAGTTTTTCCCTTCAACTGAAGGAGGGGAAAGTATCGCGTTGGGCCGAAAAACGAGGTGGAGTTTTCTGTACGTTTTTAACCCCCCTCAAAAAAAATGTGTAGGGTATAACGGGTATGTGTATATAAGGAAAAATATGAAATGTGCATGGATGTGCTATCACACAATCAGGCTTTTATAAAGGCACTAAGCATATGCTTTTAGCTCCAAATTTGTCTGGAGCTAGAAAAACAGGATTACTTTACAGTGGATTCCGGGACATGAAGGTATTGAAGGAAATTAACAGGGTGAACAACTAGTCAAAGAACGGGCAGTTCTCTTCCCCATGGGACCAGAACCACAACTACATAGGAGCACCGGAGCTTGTGCATTTGGAACTGGGAAAACGGCTTGAGATAGAACGACTCAAGCACTGGAGAAATACACAAGCTACGAGGTAAAAGAGTTATAACTAGGGCTGTGAAATATATGCATTTGCATATTTTTCCTGATTTAGTAAAACATCCAGTTTTAACAAATTGTATATGATTTGAAGCATTTGGAATCAATTTAAGCTACTTTTATTTTGTATATTTGTGCATATTTAGTCATAAATGCATATTTTTGCATAAGTTGATAGTAAATGCATATTTCTTTGCATATGAGTTCGTGTTTACTCAGTTGCTGCTTCAACGCTTTCCGCCTTGCTTTTTTTTCTAGGAATTAATATAGAAAGGGATAGGGTTTGTACCACTGGTGTTCTCTTGGAATAGGTTTAATTGGATTCATAGAAATGTTTCGACTTCAGTTCTTTCTTTTCCTCCACCCAAACATCGCATTTGTCAGCTTTTTCCACTTGCCCACTCTTGCCAGTCTCTCACACGTATTCCACTGTGGAACAACTTTTACTAAAATGCCGAAAGTCACTGCGAAGACAAAAGAACTTGTTCGAAAGTATGTGCGTGAGTTTTCAAGTGAGACTTTTAAGGGAGATGGAGAAGTTTTATATTGTGTTTGTTGCAATAAACCCGTATCAACAGCTACCCGGTTTTTGGTAAAAGCATATAAAGACAGCGAAACACAAGGAAAACAAAGGTAGGAACTCAAAATTACTGCAAACATTTGTGACTCAAGCCTCCACAAGTGCGGCTGCAAAATCTGGTTTCGATACAGATTTATGTCGAGCTCTAGTTAGAGCAGACATACCCTTCCATAAATTAAGCCACCCTGAGTTCAAGAGGTTTTTGGAAAAAACAGGAAAATCCATCCCCCAGGAAAGTACACTGAGGAAATCCCACCTCGATTGTATTTACATGGAAACACTACAGAAAATCAGAGACGTCATAAAAAATGGACCCATCTGGTCTCTATGGACGAAACGACGGATGTTGAAGGCAGATATGTAGTCAACGTAATCGTGGGAAAACTCTCCGCAGATTCACCATCGCAACCTTTCTTGGTGAGTTGTGAGGTACTTGAAAAATGTAATCATGCCACCGTTGCCAGGCATTTTAATGAATGCATGAGTCTTCTTTGGCCAAGCGGAGTTCAACATGAAAATGTTCTATTATTTCTATCAGACGGTGCTCCTTATATGATAAAAGCAAGATCTGCAATAAAAGTTTTTTATCCGAAACTTATCCATATTAAATGCCTAGCTCACGCTTATCACGAGGTGGGGGACGTGGCTAATGGCAGCTGAGTACTACTGTAAGAACTTCAATCAAATTCAAGATGTTTTGTCGAAGATACCTTCTGATTCCGCTGCAATAGAAAAAGCCAAAACTTTAATAGTGAACCCGACTTTGAAACATAATTTGTCATACATGTATTCCAATGCCGTATTTCTGGGAGATAAAATTAAAACATTAGAAACACAAATTATGCCACTGATAGACAGTATTGCTGTAGTTAACAGTGCTATTAAAAAACTAGAAGAAGCACAAGGGGAAAATGGACACAAAATGAAGAAGAAATTCATGGAAGTTTTAGGGAAAAATCCAGGTTGGAAACAAATGCAGATTATAGCTGACATTTTGTCTGGAAATACAGTGCAATTAGAGGATGACGATTCTAGTGCTAAACTAGACCCAACAGAAATTGGGGTATTCAAATATGCCCCAATAACTTCGGTTGACGTCGAGCGGTCGTTTAGCTGTTTCAAATCTATTTTGAGGCCAAATAGACGTTCTTTTTTGTTTGAAAACTTTAAAAAAGTGGTTGTTTGCAATTGCAAGAGTTTTTTGGACCAATAGTGACGAGTTTTATTAATGTTCAATGTATATACATTTATATAAAACTTAACAGTTTCTTTTTCCACTTTATTTGTGTTTTTACTCAAGCTGTATGTGCATTGTGGTTTCGTATGCACATTATGTACTATGTTTTATGTGTACCTATTTCTAATTGTTTTTTCACATATTTTCAAATTTTAATTGCATATTTTACCAAATATATTTTCATATATATGTGCATATTTGTCTGTTTTTATTGCATATAAATCACAGCCCTGGTTATAACTTATAAATCAATCAAAAAGGAAGGCGAAGGAACTCCTCTCTTCGACCAGTTCGGAAAAGGTATGTGTAAGGATTATTAAAAATAAATAGAATTTGATATAAAGTAATTTAATTAAAGTCGCTAGAATACAAAACGCCGTTGTCCCAAACAACCACAACTGCGCAGTTCTTCGTGCGTACTCCCGTTAGTCCCGTTTCTTTGTTCTTCCCTCTCGTCAACACCAACCCCTCAGCGTTGCCAACCGTCCCAGTGTTGCCGCCGGTTCTCTTCTAATGTTTCGGAGGGGCGCCTCTTTTCCCTCCTCTTGTCCTCTTCCATAACATATGTTTATAATTTATAGGGGTTCCACGAAAAATAGGTTGAAGCGGAGGAAAGGATTTTGTAAACCCCCCCCCAAACAAAACCCCGAATGTAAAGATCTAGCTGCGTCCAACATCCAAACCATTCGAACGATATTCATCAATGAATGGATCAAAAGATGGAAAATAAACATTAATTAAAATAAATGCATCAACACAACCTTTACCATCCGCCGTGCGACATTTCCCAAACTCACTTTAACAACATACATATACCGACTGTTGACATAGTGATATATCTAGGCATGTTTCTCGATAAAAACAAACGATCAAAACTTTCACTAATGAACATACAGTTAATACTACAGTACTCGGACACCTCTGGACATACGGAATAAAACTATGGGGCTCAACCAAACGCTCCAATTCCAAAATAATTCAGTCACTGCAGTCAAAATTTCTCCCTAAGATTATCAATGCTCCTTATTACGTCTCAAACCTTACCCTAGACTCCGACCTCCAAATTCCTTTTGTCAAAGAACTCATGCTTTCCCGTTAGACAAATTTCCATAACTTCATAAGTGTACAAGCTAACCCACTAGTCCAACAAATATGCTCCCTACAAAATCCCGCCGTCTAAATCGAGAGTGACCAAGGGAAAACTTTCAAATCAACAGCGAACAACCTGGCCCAACTCCATTCCAGCTACTTTGCTGATGATTGCACCTTTTATTGCAGCGATAAGAATTTTGACGAAGCTGCCAGTTAAAAGACATCTGTTTTAGAATCATTTTATGACATATACTCAAAGAGAGATCACCAAGTTCCTTTTTTGTTGTAAATTGCAAACTACGTATTTTTACATTCACAGCTCCCTTTGAGAAAAGGATTTATTAAGTGAATAACTCATTTCCATTGCTTTTAAATATTAAACAGCTAATTTATATGCATAAATAAACAACAAGTATGCACATGCAATGCATATGTATATGTAATATGACAATTGTGGTTATCGTTCTCACGTGAACTGATCAAGACCAAAAATTACTGCTGGTTGCCGAAATGGCATGCACATCAAAACGAATGCCTCGATTTGTTGGCCAGTCAAGTTTTCTTAACGTGTTTTTGTTTTACTTCCAGTCAGGGAATTTCTGTTTGCCAATGCCATTAAGGATTCAAGTCCCGCCTTTGTAGATTCTAGGTCAGCAAACCAATTTTGTTTTGTTTAAACAGACTCCCGATTGATTTTCGATGAGTGATTGAGTCACGGAGGGTTGTACAATCTGATTATGGAAATAATGAAAACTGCGATAAGGGGCTTCGATCTGACCTTTCCACCAGTTATGCTGTTGTCGACCTTCCAACAGGGTTGTTAGCTAACGGGGGTTTTTGTTTAAAAAAAACTCATCTGCTGGACAACTATATTCTACCCCATGGCAGCCTTATCGTTCAGTGCTTTTATTAGTATGTTGCTCGTGAAACTTTGTGCAAATTACTATCCGAACGGTAAGTATGTACAGGTTGAAATTTCTTTCAGACATAAACAAAAGAAACTTAAAAAGAAAACCCCTCGAGGACTATTTGAAAAATAAAACGTGTTGTGTAAATCAAATTTATAATAAAAAAGAAAAAATTGATAGATGAATTCTTTGTTGTACATATTTTAAAAAGAAGATGAAATGGTGTCCTCATTCATCAAGTTTGTTAAAGAGAAGATGAAGGGGCTTCATCCAAATATATAAACATTTTGAATCCAAGCCTTTATGATGATGATCTCCTTCTCGCTCTTAATGTATAAATCATACGTAACTAAATAAATGCTTATCTACTTTTTGACATCATTAATACCAAGTAAAATAAAAAGGATAATTGATATACTGAATGAAGTTCGGCCTAATTTATAAACATTGGGATCACTAGTTTCGCTGTGCTCAATAATGTGTTTTTAATGTATTGTAGCATTTAAAATATTAACAGATTCATTTCGATTTTTGTTAATGCTTCTAATCTGCTGTATTACACCTATTCTTGCAAAATAAGATTTGATTTTTTTTCTTTATAAATTGACACAGTCGGTGTCTTATAATATCGTTACAATCCTTTTGTTCATCCCATTTAACAAATAGGCTTTCATTTTTTTACACCATATCTGCCAGTTGGATAAATCTTCAATGAATTATTTTAACAATTTATACATAGTAATCCTAGGTAATTCTAATAATCCTGCATGGGTATTAACCTACAAACCTTGGACGCATTACGGATTCATTTTAAGGTGTATCCTCTTTAGTGGCTATATACTAGTCCACAATATGATTCGGGAACTATAATGTCCATCTTGGTTCCCTCTTTGGCCATTATGTCAACCATTTTATTGCCCCGAATGCCCAGGGACCCATGCCAGGGTCAGGTCGTCTTTTAATAGGTTTATTTATTCCAACGTGCTCCACAATTGTATGATATTTAATTAAACTTATGATATCTCCTATTTGACATCATTAATAACAAGTAAAATAAATAAAATGAAAATGATAATTGATATACTGAATGAAGTTCGGCCTAATTGATAGACATTGGGGACCACTAATTCACTGTGTCTAAGAAGGCGAATATTGCATCTACGAAAAAAATTTGCACCACGTTTCCGATGCAACGCCGAAGCTTTCCCAAAGAAGGTGTTCGACAGACTGAGGTGATAGGCACGAGCAGGCAGGACTTGAAACTATGCTTAACCGCTGAAATAGGGTGCCGTTTTCCCATGACCTAAAACAATCTGCGTCTTTTTTATATGCTTTATATATTATTGGAGGCCATGTGAAGGCAGATGGGAAGAACAGTTTCGTTATCCTGCCTGTGTGCGATGCGCTCCATATTAGAGGCGACTTTATGCTGCTGCTTCCTTAGAAAGCTTAACGACGTTTCTTTGTCCTCTATACCAGTGTGCGCTTTAACTCAAGAGGAGATATAACAACGTTGCTGAAACCTGACAGAAGCAGTCTAATGTTCTCGAGGAGTGGTAGACGGATTTCTCATGGCATCAATTGTTATTCGACTGTCCGTGAAAATGCTTATTCTTGAGTTTTTTGATGCGTAATCTATCAACCATTAAAGACCATTTGCAATCGCCAGCTATTCAACTTGGTCATTGAAGCAATTACAGTCCAATCTAAATTTCTGCTCGACAATAACTCGCAATGATAAAAGCAGTCGAATATGAGATTGTGCGATACCTTTTGATAAGTATCATTGCAACAACAATAGCTTTTGGACCCGAACAATTTTTCCTATTTTTTCCTTCAGAGAAGAGTCCCATATTGGGATTTTGTGTGTGTGTGTGTGTGTGTGAGAGAGAGAGAGAGAGAGAGAGAGAGAGAGAGAGAGAGAGAGAGAGAGAGGAACATTTTTTAGATTGTTTTGGATCAATTTTTGAATTTGATAAATTGCTTAATCCCACTTCACCTTGGATACAATGTAAAATAATTACATTTTAAATTGTTTTTTTATTTTTATTTTTATTTTACCCGTTTGCAGCTACGTTGGACGGCTCTTTTGACTGCGATCTCAAAAACTTCTCGAAAAATAATGATTTAATACTGAAAGGGAGAACACTCAAAATCCTCACATTCGTAAGTGTCGAATTTATAAGTATAATATATATTATTCAAAACTGTCGCATTTTAAGTCGTCATTTGTTTGAAAAGGAGACACGATAATTTAATGAATGAATATTCAGATTGAATATTATGACAAATAAATAATTATGAATATTTTTCATAAACTCTTAATACAAAAATATAGTTTTTAAGTTAGAAGGATCTTTTTAAATCTAGATTATAGAGTTCTTTACAACTGTCTTGTGGTTCAATTTTCTTTATTGCTTGTATTATTTGGAGATCGTGAGATGCGGTCTGGTGTAACGTAGTTTTAGAAAAACATTTTCTTTATCGTGGCAACGTTTCGATCTTTATTGAGATCATCTTCAGGGCTCAAAGTGTTTGTTTTCTGTGTAGATGTGTCATTATTGTGAGTCACACCTGACCGCATCTCTCACCATCTCCAAATAATCATTAACTAACGGTCACTAAACACTTCACATTGCTTGAATTGTCGGAAAATTCAGATTCATTGTTTAAATCGGTGTTTCTCAAAGATAATGTAATTTATCATGTAAATTTTAATGAACTGTTTGTTCATACACAATATTTTCGCTGCAATTTTTCATTTATGGATTTTTTTAAAGAGTTTTTATCTACTAACAAACATATTTTTCTCTTCAACTATACTATATGTCTACAAATTCAATTCAACCCTCATAATTTTTACAATTTTAACTGAAATTTTCCAAGGGTGTATTTTTAAAGAGGGACTGATCATTTTTGTTTTTGTCATTTAAGGACGATATGCCTCTAAGTGGCGTCAAGAAAGGGACAGGAAAAAGAAGACTGGACGGAATCGGGATCGCCTTCGAACTTGTTAAAACACTCCAACAGAAGTACGGCTTTGAGTACGAAGTTACTAACGTACTTCCCGTAGTCGGAGACAAAGATACAGGCGCCCTGTCGAAATTAGTGAACATGGTAATGTTAATTTATGTCATTTAATTATAATTAAGTGAATCGAGGCACTGGATCAGCACATAAATCCTTCAAAGACCGTTAAGAAGGCGGAAAATATTTTCACGGTTTCTTACCGTTAAATTTAAAAAGCAATGATCAGCATCTATTCAAATGGTTTGTAAACAATAACTTATACACCGAACACCTTACATCTGCCACAATCAGGACAAAGAAAGGGGCTGAGGAAGGGAATCAGAAAGACCCTCTCTCAGAAGAAACGAGGGGAGCTCGACACAATTCAACAAGGAAACCAACGAATATCCTAAAATCTCGAGAAATAATAATGAAGAGATTTTGTCTGATATTTTAACGCATGCCAATCATAAAGAAAAGCTATAATTACAAATGAAAGATTTTTTAACTGTACGTTTTATTGTAAGATTTCTTCTTGAGGTCTGTGGGTGATGAACCTGTTCACATGACCATGACCTGTGTGTGGTCGTTTCCTTTCATTTTTGGTCGGCATATCCTCACTTCATTCGGTCAATAAGAAGACTTAATTCTGTTTTTAGTATTAAGGGAGTCATGGACAAAATAACGCACATAGCCTCTGCTGATGGTGGTGAAAAGCGGAGAAATACGCATGACTGTCCAAAAGAGTGAGGATAGACAAACCAAAAATAGATCAGAAAGACCTTTTCACTTGTCCGAATGGTTTTTAAATAGATTCCAAATAGTGTGAATCACTTTTTTATTTTATTTAAATTGTAATTGGTGCCGTCAAAACAAAATAATAAACGATATTACTCTTACCCCTACAGCTCCACAGCCAAGTAATGAGACCCGGTACGAAAAGATTGTCCATATTTATATTTTGCCTGTACATTTAAATGTTTTGTTTATAACAACGCTGTTAACGCAAATAACTCGTTTCGCTAACATTAGAATAGATGTTTTTAATTATCTACTAATGAAGTTACATTTTCCTGGAAAAATATGATTTTTGGGTTTGAGATGTAATAAAAAGATACCACAGTTATACAGAGTGTCCCGTGAACAGACGACGATACTTCAGTGGGGTTATTCGGCATGTCAAATGGGTCTCCTTTCACGACTTTTCCCCATGAAGTCCCTCTATCTCATAAAATATTAATGTTAATTTAAATTTAATTATATCATAATAGTATAGTAAGTAAGTTTGCAAAGTAAATTTCATTTGTTTTTATATATATTTATTTTCGCTTAGATAGCTACGTAACAATGTTTGCCAAATATTACAACATTTTTAAATATTTGTGATCACAATTTGAATACACCAACTCTACACCTGTAAACAGGTAAAAAAATAATGATAAATAACTTCACGCCAAATTGGGGATGCTGGAAAATACCCCGAGCAGTGGAAAGAAGCCATCGTAATATCGATCCCCAAAAATGGAAAAAACTGTTCGAGTAAAACCTCGAGCTACAGGCCAATCTCGCTGACTACCTGCATGGGGAGGTCCTCGAGTCAATAATAAATAAAAGATTGATATGAATTCTAGAGACCCGAGGACTACTTTGGCACCATCAGGCAGGATTTCGAGGGGAACATGGCCACCTTTCACAACAGTCAACATGAGGTGGCTGTTTTCTTCGACCTTGAGAAGGCCATTGACAGGACATGGAGGTATGCTATCCTTCGGAAATGTCAGGATTTACTTAAAACCTGATATTCAGGTTTACGCTAGGACACTACCCGAAAGGATGAAGCAAGGAAGTGGAATACCACAAGTATCGGTGGTAACACTTTTCGCGAGTGCGGTTAACGGCATCTTCGATGGTATTGAGTGCCCAATGACGGACTCGCTTTACTTCGACCATGCTGCTATATTTATGAACGATAAAGATCTAGAAGAAGTAGTAAAAAATGCAGTCGTAATCGACAGGAATGTTGCCAATGCCGAGGAAATAGGATTCGATTTCTTTGCGGGAAAAACGAGGGCGGTTCACTTCTCTAGGCTGAGGAAGGAGCACAATCCTCCTTCGCTTAGGATCGGCTTCGGCAAGGAGAATGCGCAGGTGGAATCGGTAAGGATGCCGGAGACAGCGCCCTGGACTCGTTTACCGTACGGTGGGATATGGCCAAATCATTATGCACCGAAGGATTAAGCGTTGAGCAGCATTTACAATGCAGAAAACTAGTAGCCTGCAGGATTAACTACGGAGTCCCTGTGACCTATGCGTGTTCTTACGGCAAGGCAGTGGGCGCGGATCACCATTTTCACTTTTCTCAGTGTTTTGGCCCCCACACTATTCCACGTGTACTAACTGACCTCCCATTCCATCCTCAAACCACCACTCTAACATTTGCAGACGATACAGCGATCTTCTCACTTATCTTTGATCCAGTCATTTCCATTCGGTCCTTAAACAACGCCTCATACTAGTGGAGTCTTGGTTTGACCAGAAGAGAATAAAATTCAATCCAGAAAAATCCACCCGCATAACCTTCACTCTCCTCACTAATCCCTTTTTCAGTTTACTTCAATAATAGCCCTCTGCCAAATGCAGACAAGGTACGGTACCTAGGAATGTACAACAACAAACGCTTGAAGTGGAATCCCCAAACACGACTAAAACGCCAACAGGTTATGACATGATACAGAGCACTTTCACGACTTATTGACAAACGCTCATTTACAAATAAAAGACTGCTTTACAACGAGTGAAACCGATTTGGATTTACTGACTGGAAATGTAGCATTCAGCCACACATTCCAATATCCGTCGCACCCAAACTGCCCAATCCATAATCTTCAGAAAAATCTTTGTTGCTCCATTTTATCAGTTCAACGACTTCAACCATACCGATCTCAATATTCCTTTTGTCCAAGGTGTAATCCGCTCCCGTTACCGCAAATTTCATAAAACCCTCCCAACAACCATAAATCCTCAAATCCAAAAACTCGCATCCCAACGAATTCCCTCAAACCCCACCCCCCTTGCCGACTAAAGAAGCGATGGTTGCGAGATCTCCTTTACAGTAATAGTGACAGTGATAGAAACACCTCTCCATTAAATAGAGAAAAAACGTCTCATTGGAGTTTTACCAGTTGGGAGTTTCTCTACTCTTTCATTGATTATGTACATATGTATACCATTGTTACTTACTACCTAATTGAAGTTAGTTGCAACGCTGAACGTAACGCATGAAATCATCAGATTTGGCCTTACAGAGGAAGTATACAAAATTGTAAACATAGAGATATCGCTAATGTAGATTTTAAAAAGAAACGGCCTAAATGCAACCCTCGAGGGCTTCCAGGAGTAAACTACAAAAGTATAGCTAGCTAGTAAGCTACAAAACTATTTTAATTGTGACGGGTAACTATTTTAAGTGACAATTAAACGGTTTTAATCGTGATTTAAGCACTCGACCTCCTAAATAGGATGCAAACCAACGTAATATTTTACCATGGATGCTTTCATAAACGTAAAGTGCTGGTCACTTTAAAGAATAAACGTTAGAGAAATGATTGGCAAGGAGATTGGAAATTGAAAGCGTATCAGAGGCTTATAAATTTTAAAACATTTTATCACGGAAAAGTTATATTTTTTAAGACACTGAAATAGTTCCAAAATTTCCCCATGTTCCCAAAACCGAACGACGTGACACCACTCCGCGATTTCTTTCCTTTTCCTTCCTTTTTTTCTTCTTTTGTCTTTTTCTATACCGGTGACTAAGAAGACACAGGCACAGATTACTCATTGAGGCCAGAAAAATCCGTTAGGGAGGTAAGGAGAGGTATTGTGATAGGAAGGTGGTGTTGTCGGGCTGGCTGAGGTAGGCACTTTTATTCTTAATTAATCTCTTAATCTTCATCGATTTTGTGTTTTGTCCTTAGGTTTTGTATGTATACAATGGAAGTGCAATCCTCAACCTTTGGAGGCGATCATACGGCCCATTCGGGTGCTTCTCCGATCTGCCCACAACCTGCCTGGCCTCAGAATGGCCCGCCGCGATACCCACCACGGTAACCATCCAGACGCCAGGTGGCAGTTCTACTCCCCACAATATTATGCACGAGGATAGGACAGCCTCCCTTGTGTCTATTCCGAGGTTCGGGTCCCTGTACTAACTGCCGGCCTGGGAGTGCTGTAACTCTGTTTTCCTCTGGCACCCTCACAGGAGCCAGGAGCAGGGTTCAGGGACACCCAAGGGGACAGGGAGATTTCCCCCACCAGATGACGATTGTATGTTGTATATGTAGTGTTTTGTGCACGGTACTTTGCGTTTTGTTATCTTCGGTTCCGAGGCTCTTGCATCGATCTGTGTATTGGTGGTGGCGTACCTACGTGGGGCCGGGACATCCCTCGAAGTGCAGTCGTGTATAAGGGCCTGGACATTCTCATCGATTTTTATAAAGCTTTTTCTTTTCTTTCTGTGAAAAGAAAAAGCTTAATAGAAATATTGAAGGAGGAGTGAGTATATCAATCCACTGGTTGGAAACAATAGCTCTACTCACAAATTGGTACTGCGGCAAAGGCCAGTTTGTAAATAGAACTATAGTTTCTGACCAGTGAAAAAAACCTTATGTTTACAGTAGGTGTGCTATAAATGTAAAACACATTAAGACTAACGATGGGAAGCTGAAAAGTACTTCAGAAAATGGATTATTATAGGAATAAAATAATAAACCAAAAAAACGGGTTGTATTAATGTTCCAAACAATAAACATTGTAAAAAAAGTTAACAAATTCTTTTTGTCCAATTCCCATATATATTCTTTCATTGCTAACTATTTCCATTCGAAATGCAGGTGTTTAAGAGTAAATTACACGTGTTTTAGGAGGCAGATATGGTTGCTGCCTTTCTTCCAGTATTGCCACAATCTCATCAGTACATCACCTGGGGAGTTGAATTGTACCAAGCATCGTATTACGTCCTGATGAAAAGACCGGCAGATTCGAATACCGGGAGTGGGTTGCTAGCTCCTTTCGACAGCGCTGTAAATATTCCATTATATAAGTTTAATGAGGGCAAACATGTCACAAAATAACCTCAATAACGAGGGCAGTTCATCTGCTTATACATACTGATCTGGTCACTTTAACTTTTACAGGTTTGGGTGTTGATTTTAATATCGCTTCTGGCTGTCGGACCCATCATGTACTTGGTAATGTGGCTACGGATGAAACTGTGCCGTGACGAATATGCTCAAGTGTTTCCTTTGCCATCTTGCGTTTGGTTCGTTTATGGGGCACTGATGAAACAAGGTTCCACCTTAAATCCCAGAACTGGTAAGAATCGATTTAGACATCTGTGGATGACGTTAAATCGGGTTATATTATAAAGAGAAGTTAAAGGCTTTGTAATTCAGTCTGTCAGGGGATGAAGGTTTAACCGCAATATGCTCATCCTTAACTAAAACATTAAAATAACATGCTGACTCGAATAGAGAGTGTTGTGCTCAAGAAATATGTTCAGTCAATAAACAAATCAGACTTTTTTTTTGATAATTTAAGACTCGCGTAAATACGATAAAAATGCAATACTTTTCGCCGATCGTCGTTGTATACATATTCCAAACCAGCGAAAAGAAGACGATATAGCTACAAATTATATCAATGTTTTACGGATTGATGCTACTCATCTTAGTAGTTGCTTAAAATAAAGTTAACAAATTAATCAGAAAGGAAAAACAATTTAGATTGAGAAAGGAATGACCAAAAATGTGGTCAGAGGAATTCAATTTCACCAAATTACGATATTTCCATCAAAACACTTTTGAACTGATAATCTAGCAAATTGCCCGTTTTACTAATTTGTGACATTTAAAAAATCAATTAATTGTTGTTAATCAATAATCATATACAAGAACAGGCAAAACGTATTCGAAAACATAGGAATAATCTTCTTGTTCACTTTAGAAAGATCGATAATATATTGGTACTATAGTAATAGCACAATTTAATATAATACAATGGTTTTGTCAATACCCCAAATAATTTAAATATTTGTATGCATTTAGTTGTATCGGTAGAGTTACAAAACTGCTGTCCCTTAGTTTCCACACCGTCGTAGTTTTCGAATTGCCGTCCTTTCCACAAATATGCCGTTGATTTAAAAAGGACAGTCATTTGGTGTGAGGTCCAGGACATAAGAAGGGTGAAGCAAGGCTCTAGCGCCTTTGTTTTCTGCGAATTTCATCTTTGTTAAAAGCTAAAGGTAGTTTTGTTTTGTTGCCGGATTACTTTATTCCGGCCGACGAAAAAGTGCATTTTAAATTTTAAATCTCCATTCTAGAGCTGAAAGTGGAAAATACCTCCATTGTTCCACTAAAAAAAGCTTTGTTTCGAACGGATAGGTAGCTGAGGTGCCCATAAATCTTGGCATTTCGGACATTCCTTCAGATATCTTATGGTGGCATTTCATGTCGCAATTGTAACCGATAGTCAGCGACATTAGAAACATTTTTGACGGAATTGAATTTGAGGAAAAATGAGGGATACTTCGAGTTCTACTTTTTCTATAAGTTACGTACTAAAAGGTGTTGAGGTTGTACGATATAATTAACCTTGATCGCACTATATTTATTTCTTAATTGTAACTGTGAGATTTCTTTTGAGGTCTGCGGGTGAAGAACCTGTAGCTTAATCGTTTTCGTCTTTCTAGTCTCGCTGGTTTGGGTTGGTCAGTTGATTCTCATAGCGAGGATAGGTTGACCAAAATGATCGGAAACGCCCAAGCTACAAATTATACTAATGTTGGTCAAAGTATTTATGTAAATTTTGATCCGTTTGGATATTTTCTTTCACTATTGATTGTTTATTTTTGTTCAGATTCGGCACGAATGTTATTTGCCACTTGGTGGATATTCATTCTGATACTGACAGCGTTTTACACAGCGAATTTGACAGCGTTTTTAACTCTTTCGTTATCTACGTTGCCAATAAAGGAGGTGAAAGACGTGGCCAAAGATAATAACAAATGGTTTGCAACACAAGGCGGAGCCATAGCGGATGCAGTGAAGGTGAGAGTAATCAATTTTAACAAACAGTTCATGTTAAAATACCGAGGCCACATAAGTATATATTATGTGAACGCTCAACAATATCGTTTATCGTTTTCACCAAGACTAAGTTGAACATATTGAAAATCAGGCTATATAAAAATTGTAGCATATTAAAATTAAATTACACATCATAATAATTGTAATATCGTTATGTTGGGTCTAGACATGCAACAGCATACTGCCATACTGACACGGGGATACTCAATTATTTGAGCGACTGAGATACTCGGCGACCAATAGACTAGTCAAGTGTAATTAAGTGGTGTCACTCACACGGGAATACTTCAGTAGGGGTGATGAGACCCGATATTTTGCCCTCCAAGTCTTCAGGTCTCTCAGTTGCATTCATACCATTGGCGTGCGCAATTATTGAACTACTACTACTACTACTACTACTCCTCCTCCTCCTCCTCTTACTACTACTACTACTACTACTACTACTACTACTACTACTACTACCATATATGTCTTTAATCTTAATATACTATATGCTATATGTCCTTTTTAGATGTCCCGGCTGAATTTCTCTTGAACCAATGACAAAAAAAAAGTGTTTAATATTTTTTAGTCTAGTTTCAAATTTTTACCTTTTTGGAGAAAAATTATACACGGTACCTCAGGCCCAGAGTCAACTTCAAAATTTCAAATACGACCCTATATATCCTAACACATAATTTTAAAGGATCTTTTACGCTGAGAACAATGGTGCAATCGGATTTTAAATTAGTCAAAAATGACAAAGTTATAGCAAAAAGAAAACGGCAGCTAATATCGACGAGGAGCTGAATATTTTACTGTATACCCGCGAAAATCCGGATTCATCTGTCCTTAATGTTGGAAGGGTTTAAGATTTTTCAAAAAATAAAATTAGACATGTACTCAGGACTTACAATTTTAAGCCCTATATATACAAAGTTAACAGTTTGAAAATAAACCGCTCAAAAAATAAAAAGGAATGAAAATAATGTGCTCCAACATGAATAGGAATAATGCCGATTTTGCGGTATTTACTTTCCCTAGCATTTTTATTTTATTTTTACTATGAATAGCATTAAAATTTTGAGGAAATTATTATGTTTTTACTGCAGGAAAATTTAATGAAGGGATTTTGAAAAATAACAAAATAAAAAGTTTTAATTCCATTATTTTGTTTATTGGACACAATAATTTTTTTAAACAATATTACCGTATATAATCCCCTGTATTAGTTAAAACCTCTGTGCACCTGTTAGGCAAACTGTTAATTAGGTTGTCACTAATTTTATAAGGAATTTAACTCCATAGCGTTGCAACGCTGCACTCAGTTATAGCAGGTCAATTAGCTGCGGTTAGTGATCGAAAAGCATTCTCAGCAACGCATCCCACATGTGCTCAATGAGATTGAGGCCTGGAGAAAGACAAGGAGCAGATGGGAAATTCCCAGATTTTCTAAATATTGATGAACAACCCTACCTCTATGAGGTCTGGCATTGCCATCCAGAAATCGAAAAATCCCTGCCAATGAGATCCCTGGTTTGAGGGATTATTCCTCGATAATTTCTTGGATATAAAGTAATGCTGGGAGGTTGCCTTTATGGAGTCCAGTTCGTCATCCAGTGTAAATCCCGCACTGCCTCATCCAAGCTGCACTGAAAGGAGAACGAACTGGGGCATTGTACGCATCCCCTGCTCTCGGTAGACTCTTCGGCGCCTGCTATCGCTATACAGACAGAAACGCTACTCATCAGTAAACATAACAGAATTCAAATTTGAGTTCTCTTCTAGGCGCTCGCTGCACCATATTTTCCTAAGTTGATCGTGGCGGGCTGTTGATGCTAGCCGTCTCAAAGGGGCATACGATGTGAGGCCAACGATTACGGATCGTGTGTTGATAAAGGGCATGTCAAAACATTTTGTACTTCATTTAAGATCTGGCGGGCCCTATGGAAAGGGTTCCGTCTTGCAGCAATGACAATACTTCTGTTCTCCCGTAGTGAAGTTGTCTTCAAGCGTTTGAAGTGTGCGGACGTGCTCGTGAGTGCTCTTCACATGACGACTTATTGAGGCGGCTGTTGAAGCAATCCCTATATGTGAGTTACCTCATCAGATTTGGCTTGCATTCAGCTTTCCAGAAAGCATTTGAACGTCAGAATCGGTAAAGTATATCGAAAGTTATTTACGATAAACTAATTCGGTCTCTGAGCACGTGGTCGACGCCTTCAGGCTGTCCAACCTTGGAGGCCGGAATATCTTTCCGATCTCGGCTAAATTGTCTTTTACTTCGATTCTTCACTCTTCATTTAACGTTTTTGACATCTCTTGTCATCCTCCCCTTCCCCTCTCACCATCTTACTTCACAATTCTTCAGCTTTCCGATTTCTGTCATACGTGGCATCCCCTTGAATTCTTCATCATTCTGACATCTCTTGTCATCCTACCCTTCCCCGCTCTCTCCAATCTTCACTTATTCTTCAGCTTTCTATTTTTTCTGCTATTTTTGATTTCCATTTGCATTATTCATCTTCCGTTATTCCGTCTGTCTAGTTATCTTTGACATCTTTTGCCCCACCCCTCTTTTCTTCCCCTTTTTCACCTTTCTCATTTCCAAGTGGCATCTTGTCATCTTTCTTTCCGACCATCCCTTTTATTCTTCAAACTTTATATCACCTTTGACATCTATTATTCCTAAGAGTTCTGTTGGCACCCCTCCTCCTCCTTGTGTCACTCTCTTTTTGTGTTATGCCTTTATTCCTGCTTTCTACTTCATTTAAATACAGTTGACATCATTTCTCTTTGATCAACAAGTTAGTCATGGATGCAAAGAGAAAAAAGAACATTGAAAAATCGACTACCATATCTGCTGCTGCAAAAAGCAGTAGAAGGACAACCGCAAGCCCAAGTAAGGTTTCAGCAAGTCTACCCAAAGAAATGGATCTTGATGGTAAACTGTTAAGCCTAAAACGAACTCTACCAAGATTAAGTGAACCTGCCGAGGGAAAAGCAAAAAACAGTGATTCCCCGAGCACTGCTAACAGGCAACGAACATCTGACCTTTTTGCTAGTCAATCTAGCCTTAAGCGCTCCCTGCCCCGAGGCATTGATAGAGGCGTTTATGGCACAATCACTCCGCGTGTGCTTGGCCAAGCTAGCGTTGCCTCTGCCTCAACGGCGGGAAGCTTACTATGCACGGACCCCGAAAGCAATACCGATACGTTGCCCTCCCCTGCGGGAAGCATGACTGGGCAATCGTACTCACATGTAACGGGTAAGCGCACTAAACACCAGCCTACCTTGAATGAGTTAACCCAGTCACTAAATGCCAACATGACAGTGTGCTCAGAAGCATTAGATTTACGCAAAGAAATATCACAGTATATGATGGATCCTGGCAGTAAATGCCCCAAGCCTGCGGCAATGTTTGTATGCGAACGCGTTGATAACATAATTAGCAGGCTTCAGCACCTCGCTATTGAAAACGCTCAGCTTAGAGAGGCAAGCAAAAGAATCCTGACCTCTGAGGCTCAAATAGACGCCATTAAAGCGGCCTTGTCTCCGGCCTTTGACCGGATAGCTGCTGAACTTCACACTGCAAAAAGCCCGTCGAGTGTAACCCCCATCAAATCGATAGTAAGTGAGTTGACCACATGTGTGGATAGGATTAAGAAACTTGATTCCGCAGTGGGCAACCCACCCATCGAAGGGCATAGCCAGCTGCCTGCTGGTGAAGATGATGCAAATAACCCTTGGGTTTTGGCTAAACCAAACCGCCGTCGCCGTGGGAACAAGACAATCAGCGATGATACTATTGAAGGAGGTACCGCAATAACTCATAGCAAGCACCGAGCAAAAACCCAGAAAGCTAAGCCTCTTGAACAAATAAGATCAAATGAGACCATCTTAAAAGCCAAGGAAGAACAGCATAAACTTATCATTGTGGACCTACCAGAGGGAATGGAATCTCGCGACCTCCTTAATAAGGTCAAGGAACACTTAAACCCTAGGGTCACAAAAATCCGCCTAGATGGCATTAGGTCAACAGCCAGAGGAGGAGTGGCTATCAAAGTTGACCAGGACGCATCAAAATCAGCGGTCCTGAAGGTCTTGAGTGACACCCAACTTAAGCCGCGCCTCATGGGCAAAAGGAGCCCTCGGATCTTAATTCTACGTGTCCCTAAAGACACAAAGGCAGATGAATTGAGAGAAGAAATCGTGGCCAACAATGCACTGGAGGAGCACAAACAGTATATTCGACCACTGCACACCGTCAGATATGGTAGAGCCCCACGACAAACTAGCCCCTTCTCTTGGGTGGTTGAAGTTCCCCCAGAAGTCAGAAATGCGGTGATTGATAGGCAAAAAATCTACCTCGATTATCAGTCTTGCTCAGTCCGGGACTATGTGGGCGTGACAAGATGTTTCAAGTGCCAATGTTACGGTCACGTGGCCCCTAACTGCCCGAAGAAAGAGCCGGTGTGTGGCAGGTGTGCACTCGCGCATGATACGAGGGACTGCAACGCAGAAACCTTAAAATGCGCGAATTGCATCCGTTTGGGCAGGGACTCATCCCATGCACCTGGCTCAAGGGAGTGCGAGGCTCACATCAGGGCAGTTATAAAGGCAAAGAGCGCTACCGACTATGGAGACGTGGCCTTGACTGCTACCTCTTTGCAATTCCAGCAAAACGTGCCCACCGGCCATATAGAAACATGCGTTGACCTGGCACCGAATAGCAATGTGCAGATTTTGGCAGAGGAACCATCAAAGGAACCTGATGCCAACTGCTAGTACAAACACCCTCAAAATAGCGCAACTCAACTACCATGGCTCACAAATCGTCAGCGATGAGGCTCGTGTCCTCGCCTTTGAGCAAAGAATTGACATCGTTCTGGCTCAAGAGCCATGGAAAGGAGGAGTTTATAAAGCTATGGGCCTGAATGCGCGGGTAGTGGCATCGAGAATGACTGAGCCCCAGCGAGCTG